TGACACACCGAGCGTTCCACGTCGATCAGGCTACGTGGAACCCGTCGAAACTTTCGATTTATCGGTTTGTGCTTCGAGAAGACGTTGTATCGCCCGCGGCTGCACTCGTCCAAGCGTTTAACGATGAACTTCCGGCGTGGAAGTTTGGCACGGAAGTCGAGACACGTGTCTTACTTCGGGTGCTATGAATAACGGGGAAATGAAGGATGTTTCGAATACTTTGCGCAATTTATGCGCCGCGTTGCGTAACTTCACAGACGCCGGGCAATTAGATTGGCGCGAGCCGCCGTCGCGTCTGACCACCATCGGTTCTTCTCTACTGCGGAATACGATTAACTGCCTGGGGTGGGAATTTTTGCAGTAGAAAAGGTCCCCGACTTGGTCGAATATTTCATATTTTCACGAAACAACATTGTCGCACGATCATCACGTGGTTTTCAAAGTGAACGATAATTGAAAAATCTCCCGAGGAAGATCCTGAACTAAACGAACTGAGCTATGATTAATTGATGTTCTTCTTCTTTTTCTGTAAATAAATGGAACTCTGGTTCCAAGGAACCTACTCCAATTGAATATCTAGCACTCGATAATCGTTAGAAATCGTTCGTTCGATGCTTTCGTAATCGTGCGTTGATAAAATATTGGAGAGAGTAATAAATATCTTATATAGTCCATCAAAATGACAAAAAAGGGAAAAAACTTTTTTTCTCTTCGATCAGAGAGAGAGAGAAGGACATTATCTCTCCGGGTTAATCACTCGTGTTCGGCTCGGTGATTTAGAGCTCGGTGGTGAGCATTCGATATCACAGCGAACTCCATCTTCTACGCACACTTCCGCCGGAAGCTGCCACCCTGAAAATTATTCGAGCGTGTCCGATCGGTTGCGTGATCACGAATGACGTGACGCGTCTATTCTGTGTCTCTCGTCTCGATCGATGAGTCCCAATCGAACAATCTTCGATTTTTTTTTTTTTCTTCTCCCCCTCTGTCGACGTACATACGGCCAATGCAATTTAGGTTAATTCTCCAACGTTACGAGCTTCCACGCTGTTTTTCTTCCTCCTCCTCCGCCCCTCGCCGCTCTCTGTGATTAATTGCACTACTTCTTTCTTTCTTCAACCCTTTCACAAGCGAATTCATCGCTGCGTTTAGCAGTGAAACGTCGAGTGGTTAATTCAGGTGTTTCTTTGCGAACGAGCATAAAAATAGAAACGACATTGAGATGCTTTTTTGTTTGGTATAATACTGCGAAGATCATTCTTCTAAGTGTTTTACTTATTTTAGAAACGTTGCAACGTTCCGTGAATTTGAATTTTAAATCCGAGCTTCGTTGCTGTTTCGCCAGCCTTCGGTGATTAATCCTCCTTTCTGTGTCTCTTTCAATTCAACCCTCTCGCCACTGAATTTATTTGCTGCGTTAGAAACACAAAACTCTAAAGACGCGAACGATTTGATTATTTATAAAGACTGTTGGTCATTTCTCCTGTACATTCCTACTTCAACAGGAATTTTATCATTTCAGATGCATATAAATTGTTTTCAGTTGAAGGTAAGAAGTGAACGTAGCTTTAAAAACGAACAAATTGCAACTTTTCGTTATAACAATTTTCATTACGAATAAATGTCGGAGTACAAACGTCTCGTCTATTAAATTTATATAGATACTTCACCTATTTTTTTTTTAGCAGTTCAAGATCATCTACCCCCTTAACCTCATCAGCTATCAGGTAACGAGTTCTATAGGACACGTAGTTCCCTGCACGATCAGAAGATTTAACAACACATATCTCTCTCTCTCTCTCTCTCTCTCTCTCTCGTGTTGCAATAAAAAATCTCCCCGTGCTGCGTGAGATAAAGCACGATACACCATCGATTTCTCTTCCTGCTCGTGCGTTACCATTCTGCTCCGTTCGCGAGCAATCTGCCAAGCAGATCGGCAGTAGATGACGTTGATAGATCGAGAACGCCGTCGAGTCATTCACGTTGAATATTCATCAAGGCGAAAACTCTTTGCTCGGTGAATTTAAAACGGTGGCGGTCGAGAGGGCAAAGACGAAGAAACGAATTGGCGACTTCCTCGAACGAAATGATTCGCGGGCAGATCAGGAATGCCGATCTTGACCCGTTCGATGAAAGATTCTCGTCGCTTTTAGGTGACAGCTCTTCCTCCTCTCTCTCTCTCTCTCTCTCTCTCTCTCTCTCTTTTATTCTGCCTATGTTCATCGCATGATCGATATTCGATTCACGTGCCAGTGCAAACAGAACTTCAATCTGATCGGTGGCTCCGAATCTTCAACCCTCGACGCTGACCCAGATTATTACCACCACCGGGCGCCCCTATTTTTATTCGGCCGGCTCTGCGTTGCGTTTGGCACTGAACTTGCACCGTTTTAATTAAATATCAGAGCCGCTTCTCCGACCGGGGATCCGAATCGAACCCGGGCAAAAATAGCCGGGACAATTTTACGAATCGTAAGCGATACGGTTAGAAATAGCCTGTCAGGGCTGGCAGTAAGTAAGTATTTCGACGAACGAGGGAGAGATTCTTGTTTCATCGTTGTTAGAATCATGGCGATTCGATATTTTTTCCAGATTGTGAGACTTTGGATTTTATCGTCCGAAGAGAATTCGTCTCGAAAGTCTTCTTTGGAAATGTTCGATTTTTCCTCTCAATTCCTCGCGATGCTTGTTAGTTATGTACTTTCTCTCCCAAGTGTTCATTCATGAAACGAAAATAGCCTCCACTGGCCGTTGAGGTTTCTTCGTCTGAATTAAATTTTTCTTTCGAGGTTCCAATCTTGTCTCGTATTTCTAATCAAATTGGGAATCAGAGTGTCGTCAGAATCAGTCTATGCATTTCTGGGCCATTTATCTTTCACTTTTAGTTTTGAAACCGTTGACTCGATGGTTTTCGAGATAGTCAAACTTCGAGTCATTTTAAGTAGAATCTTGGTTATTTCAATAAGTCTTTGAAAGCTTGGCACGTAACGTTTTATAAACGTCTCACTTTATTCGTCTCTATACTTTACATTCTGTATGGTGCAAATTTTGTTCTATAGGCATTTCAATTTTACACATTCTTTTTCTACATCGTTCGTTTAATCAACGTTCAAATTTTTCACCCGCGCGTAAATGCAACCTCCCACATTTCCCTTGACATTCTATTTCATTTCAATTTGTTGCAGTTTGATGAAATTTTGACAACACTGGAATCTATTCAAGCGTCCAATGTAGGTACCAACGTCTTCATAATTCATCAAACTTTTAAATATAAAACAATTGAAAATCCTCTTGAGAGTCTCTTCCAACGCTTTATACGCTTTTCCTTTTGGAGATTTTGCCAAAATTTTAATTCTCCCGTGACCAGAGGCTGTGTCTTCCACCTGATATTCGTTTTTAATCACAGTGACTTTAAATCTTTAAACAGCAGCAGCTCCTTTGAACATGATACCAAAGACTGCTTCCGTCTCTCGGACAGGCAAGGCAAAAAGAAAATTAGAGCAGCTATCTATTCGGAAAATCGGTTGTTCTCATAACGTTTTCTCCTGGCTCTCTCTCTCTCTTTCTCTCTCTCTCTCTCTCTCTCTCTCTCTCTCTCTGAAGAGAGAAAGAGAGAAAGGTTCGCTTTTTTCATCGCCGTGGTTCCCGGCACCGAGTAATAGCCAACGTCGTTCCAAGGCCCCTTTGTCTTCTTTCTATGAATTATCGAGGCCAGAAGTTAGACAAAGGCGAAGAAAAGTGCGGCCGGTTCTGTTTCGCAAAAGAGAGGAAGATTTATGCGCGACTGAAAGCTCGGCCAATTTCAAGCACGTCATAGATTTCACGGGAACAGCTTTCTGGCCGGACTTGTGTTCCATAGGGCTAACTGAATACTCGAGATTCGTGAAATCGTACGCTGTTTCGAACATTTCTTACGAACGTTGTTTAAACGAAGTAGCGGGCTAACTACAATTACAAAAGTTGCCGAAATGTAAAATTTCACGGTGTGAATGCGTGGACACGCTTTTTGTACGATTTTTGTTTGCAAATTTTCTGAAAGCGCGCGAAAACGTGAATGACAGGTACAGTCGCGTTGGAAATTAAAATTAAACTTTTAAATTTAAATTTAAATTTCACCGTAAATATATTTCACACGCACGTGCGAAATATATTCTTTTAATATACCACAGACATTAAACGTAGATAAATTGTAGAAAACTTGTCAATGTTTCGAGGTTTTCAATTGATATAATACATATATGTACTCGCGTGAAGAACTGAAATTTATATTTTATAAACTGTAGAATCTCTAGAAAAGAAAAAGAAAGAAATTTAATAAAAACCGTGTCTCTCTGGTTCAACGTTCGCCGTTGGTTTGTGACTTGTGGCGACGATACCGGCGAAATCGCTACGACAACATTAGTAAAAATAGATATACCGATATCGAACGTTAATCTGGGTCAACGGGGAACGAGATTGACGAGGCGAAACCACGACGGAATCGAAATTCGACGCATCGACGTATCAATAGAATCCCGTTGGCTCGTAGATCTAGTTCAATTCGGGGTGAATCACCCCGAGAGGGAGGAAGCGTGTTTGGAGGCGGCTTCGATTAAAATCGCGTGATTCCGATTCTTTCAGCGTGAAAACAGCTCTCCCGTTCCTACACAGTTGTTCCCTCGTTTCTCGCGGTTTGCTTCTACCTCGTGAGGAGGATCGAGATACGACAAAGTGATAATTCCTGACGAGTCGTAAATCCTCGTTTCGATATTCCGCGATCGCCTTCGAATTTCGTGCTGCAACTGAATTAACGCTAGAACTATCAGCTATCGAACCTACATTCTGTACCGAATTTCTTTCATTTTCGTTTATTAGCAATCGATATTGTTAATTTTCGTTTATTAGTCAATCGACTATTGTTAATTTCTATCACTCGATAGATAGTAACTCCAAATTTGATTGCAGATCAAGTGTAAATCAATGAGTATAAATGAGAATAAATATATAATGTTATGTTAAATCGAACGGTAGGATAGAGTTATAATCAAAGAAGCACGATCGCGTTTCTCAGATATCTAACTCTGTCGCGCAAAAAGGATCCCGAGGAGGAGTTAGCCATTTCGACGTTCCGGTCTGGTAGTTCTAGCGTCGAGGAAACCCAGGGAAAGAAGGTCAAAATATCCGCAGAAAAGGTGGTGAAGGAAACGTACGTACAGTACATATACGTGCCCCGTAAGGAGGGGGGGAAAGAAACAGGATCTTCAAATGCGCAACGTCGCCGGGAATTGCGAGGAAGCTGGCGTCGGGAACAGCTGGCATCGCGGAATGTTGACCTAGTGATCGCGGGCCGCGAGCGTGCTGATTTGACATAACTGCGAGCGAAAAGCAGCAGCAGCAGCAGCAGCAGCAGCAGCAAGAGAAGGAGGAGGAGGAGGAGGAAAAATGCGAAACGGCGGTCAGCCGCAGCAGACGGCGGTGATGGCGCCGCCGCACTTAAACGGTTCCGCGCAGTTCGTTTCCGGTGGTTACGTCGGCTACGTGCCGCGCCAGTCCTGGGGGCAATTCCAAGGGCCGCCTCAGCATCCTCGGAGCACGGCCAGGCCGCTGTCGCATCCGCCGCCGCCGCCACCCTCTCGAAGGGAGAGCCAACAGAGACCCTCTGGCAACGGATCCGCCAACCTTAAGAGTACGTCTCTCCCGCATTCGAGACCGCCTGGAACGCACAGAAGTGCCGCGCCATCGGTGAGTTTGGTAAAGGAACACCAGCTTTGTCCTCCTTCCTTTGGGGCATCTCCTTTTGCACAGGAAATTCTCCTCTCGATTCTTTTTATTTTTTTACGAATATATATATATATATATATATATATATATATATATATATATATATATAGAGAGAGAGAGAGAGAGAGAGAGGAATTTTTTTGATATTTTATTAGTGGATCAGTTTCGATTCCTAACGTGAAAATGTAATGATTAATAATGTAATGATGTACAAAAATCTCATAGTAATTCAATGCAGAAATTTATATTAACTATTTAAATTTTGTATAATAATATTATTATATTATATATAAATAATAATATTACAAATAAATAATATTATATTAATATTAATAAATAATAATATTATTATATATAGATAATATTATATTATATATAAATAATAATATTATAAATGAATAATATTATTATATATAGATAATAATATTATAAATAAATTTTATATAATAATTTAATTTGGTAATGATTGATTAATATCCTCCAATTTGGAGATTTTTCGTGATTTGTCAAAAATATATGTCGATATATGTTCGACAATTTACAACCTTTTTTTTTTTACAAATATTCAGCTATCCAGAAAAGCGTTATTGACAAAAAAAATTACACGAAATATAAAAAGATATGTATTAGGGGATGACTTATCATTCTTGGCGTCAGATGGTTCGTGTTCGGGTGGTTTTAGTTGCCGTGAACCGATCCGATCGGTCACGGTGAGAATAAACGTGGAAGACGAGCGGTAGAGAGAAAGAGAAAGGCGAGGGAGCATGAATTTTATGCGCCGCGAGTATCTGGAAGAGCACGGTGTGGAATACTGCACGAGGTTTAAAACCATTCGTGAAGGAATGTCAAAGAAAAGATCTACCTGGTGCTTTGTTCGTATTTCACGTTCCTTTGTTGTCAGTTTAAAAAACAAAAAAAGAGAAGAATTTAACTTGTGGCTACGGCCACGGATGATCCACGGAATGATTTATCTTACTGTTAAAGATAACGTTATAATAAACACATACAGTCTGTCTTAAAAATAATAACCAACACACCTATATAATACCTCTATATAGGTATAATATATATAATAATAGATATAGTAACTCTAATAAAAAAAAGTTGACTTTTAAGAAATAAATTAATATTTAATTAAACAATTAAGTTTCGTAAAATTTCTTTTATTTAAATACGTGCATATCTCAATTATTTAAATAGATTTTTGTCAAACAATAATAACAAAAATATCGATATAAAATAGACATTACGATCGTTTATGACACGAAAACAGATGCAGCAATGGTCGTGCAACATACTGGCCAATTCTACTGTGGTGTCGCGTCTTTGGAATCAACGTCGGCGCACGGCGAAACGGAGAAGAAAAATCGCGTTCGATCGGACAGACTGGCGCGGAGAGGGAGAAGAGAGAAAGAAAGAGAGAGAGAGAGAAACCAGTTTTCTTCGTGAAACTTTGCTTAACTCTAACCTCAAAGTCCCGTAGGCAACCTGAGACGCTAGAAAGTGGTCTCGGTGTTTCGTTTCAGGCAATTCGATCGAACGCTTCGGAGATGGACTGCCACTGAGAATTGTGAAAAAGGGGTGGGGGGTGGGGGGGACGCTCCCGCAAGTAATTTGCGGTCAAACGAAAACCGATATCGCCCCTGATTCTTCCCGTTGCGCTCGAAAAAGAGAAAGAAGGCACGCTCGCGCGTTGGGATGAATTTTTCGAAAACAGAAAGACAAGAGCCATTTTAATCTTAATTCAGAAGGAAGTTGAAAATTGGTATTTGTTGTGATACTGTCCGTTTAACAATATTTTAGGATTATTATTACATCTGTTCCGAAATTGACGAAGAATTACAATCGAGAAAGTATACTGTACCAATGCGTTAACAATTTTTCATGTGTTCAAATTCTACTGGAAATCTTTAAATTCTACTTACATTAAATATCCCAAGATTTTGAACGAGAATTAGATTATTACACTTTTTTTTTTTTTATTAACATTAATAACAGTCATTTATTCCGAGATATACAGGCTTCGAATATATTACATAAAATATTTTTCAATTTCATCAGCAGTATTAATGTTTGGTTTAAATATATATCCTTAGAAGAATAAATCAGGTGGTCAACTGAAGAAGAATAAATCAGCTGGTTTCCAATATTTTCTATTCCATTGTGCCCGCTTTGTTCTTGTTCCCTCTTCCCATTGGTAGTACGAAAAACCGGTGAAAAATCGTTTCGTGGCCTTGTTAACTTCCATTTCCGTTCCAGACGCCGCGCAGTAATTGAAAAACCTAGGTTTCGCCAAAGAGAAGAATATCGATAAACGAACGTCTTACAGAGATTATCCCGGTGCAGCGAGGAAATACCGGTGTAACAGGATTCTCGAGGACCGTAAGATATCTCGGGATGTTCGTGTGTGCTCCTTTTTTTCTCTCTCCTTCCCCCCCGTTCGTACGAGATCGGCAAGGTCGGACACTCCGCTCCTCTCATTCGTCTCCGAAATGTTTATCTCGAACGAACCGCGGACCATGGAGAGATCCACTCTGAATCTGCGTCACTCGAATTCCACGGATGCCTTGCCTTGCGTTCAGACACACGCGTGTCGAGAATCGAAAGGTATTCATAAAGAATTCAGAAACCAGGACTGAGAGCTTCGATTTGTTCCATTCACCGTGTCCATTCCACGGACGTTTTTTCTTCGTTTTCTCAGTTTCAATCTCTCTCTCTCTCTCTCGTGCACGATGGTTTTATTCGGTCCATACCGTTCTTATCGTGCAGCGTGCATAAGTAAACAGGTAATATTGATGTGTGTATCGTTTCTTGTACTACGAGCAGTGTCGTTCTGAACTAACCGCGCGTTCGTGAGCCGCATCGGGCAAACGGTGTTTCAACTCCGCTTAGTTCCGTTAGATCGTCAAACTTTGTGTCGCGACACGTCCACCTGGCAAATATTCGTTTTAACACTGGCCACGACTACCGAGCACGTACATACAGCTGCCTTCTTCTTCTTCTTTTTCTTCTTCTTCTTCTTCGTCTTCGTCCAGTCAATATCTATTGTCTCTCGTGCCTATGCATTAACCGAGCGCGAGCAAAGAGAGACAGGTTTCGCGACACCTCGTCGTCGTTTCAGGCACGAGCTTCGAACGTGGTTGGTGGTTCCCTTTCCTCGCTCGTGGAAAGAATCCAAGCTTCGCGAAAGCGTCGAGTTTGCGACGCTGGCCCTGATAAAGTTAGCAATGAAATTACCGAGACCGACTGACGGAGCTTTCAAGATAATTAGGGGATAACGTAATAATCGTCGAGAGGCAACTCGTTTAGGGGACGAAATGCGAAATCCAAAGGCTGCTATCACGGCCGCGCCGCGGATTCCAACGAATGTTCTCCTTTTTCTTCGGGATATTGAAATCCTCTGCGCTGTTGGCGCTCTTTTCATTCATTCCTCCTCTCTCCCCTGGGTGAATTTTGGAACGTTTGAAGCTTCGACCCGTTGCATTTTCACGAAGAATTTATGGATCTTGCGTTTTTTTTTTTTTTTTCAAGGAACGTGATCTTTGGAATTTAGTGTCGCGCGATTTTCGAGATCTTTCGAATACTTTCACTAGCTGTGTACATGATAACAACTGGGGCAGTTGCAGAATAAATTCAAGAACGAAATAATAGTATTAAAGAAGGAAGGAACAGTTCTTCTCCATTCTTCTAATTTGTTCCATCAAAAGGGAATGCAAATTATAATGTAAAACGGTGCAACGGTATATAAAATATTTCAGACGGCGAAAAAAAGGACTGTTGCCATTTAATATTTAATATTTAATTCTGTTGGAGAAAAAAAATTCAAATGATAAAACAAAATGGCACAACAGCATAAAGTAACGACGGGAAGAACAACAGTTACACCGTTCGATATTTTGCTCCATTAAAGAGAGATTCGAGTGATTGAGCGAAACGGTACAATGTAATATATAATAGAACAATATTGTTCAGTCGAACGACGAACAGAACAGCGTTCTCATTCAGAACAGTTTTTTTCATTTCGTTAGAGAGAGAAGAAAAATGAACACCACAGATATCGTAAACGATGTTAACCAACATGAATGAAGCGCTTGCTGAACAGGGAACGGTTTGTTCTTGTAGAATTAGAAACGCTTGTTGCTCGGTATTACGCCTTTTAACGCGTGTTTCGATCCCGTTACCAGAGCGCGAAGCCGCCGGAGATTTGTCTCCTTGGCGAAAACATCTTTCCTGGCGATTTTCGTTCATTTCGGTTTGAAGAATCATTTTTCTTTTTTTTTTTTTTTTTTTTAGTATGAAGTGTCCTGTTTAACATCAGAACCATCACGGCGTGATCAAAATAATTCTTCCTAATGTTTGAAGTATTGCAGATGAAATTTTTTTACGAGTAGTTTCCTTCAAAATTAATACTGGACAGAGGACTTGTAATCTCAATTATTGTCAGACACGTATTTTTTCAGAAATTGAACTAGCGTCTTTGAATATACGTAGAACAGAGAGCTGCGACTCGAACTATTTTCTTTCGTCCCGCGAAAGAGATTTTCATTTCCCTGATACGGATTTAATCGCCGGTGGTTCTCGAGAGTTGGACTTTAATTTCCGCCGCTTCTCGCGCGATAAATTACTCTGGCGACGAACGAGGTCGAAGCGACACATGGCGCTAACGCACGCTCGCTCGTTCGCTCGCTCGGGCCACTTTCCAAGCGTTTTGAAGTTCAGCCGGTGCCGAGAGTCCAGAATCTTTTCCGCGGCCATTCCCCGTAAATTGAATTTTTATGGAAATGCCCGTTGGCAAACGTCGCTGAATTTTCTACAATTACCTAACGACCCCGTTAGGGAGTCACGTTGGTCCACTTTTATCCCACTCGTTTCGTGTACCTCTGTTATTTGTCCCTAAACAGACGTCTGTGGTCAGTGATTTTTTTTTTTTTTTTTTAACATGTCAATATTGAAAATACCCA